TACATAACTTCAGGTAAGAGTTTCCAAAATTTTAATAAAGAAAGAAAAAAACATACCTTTTCTCTTTACAGCTTTTACTAATAATTAGACCAAAGTCTGTTATGTGCTTTTAAAGGAATCTGTTAATTCAAGCACAAGAAATATCAAGCAACTAATAATCATCTTCTACTACATTGTTTTTAAACAAATTTTACTATGAAAAGCATAAGAAATATCAAGCAACTAATAATCATCTTCCATTATATTGTTTTTAAACTGTCATGCACAGTACTGTTTGTTCTTACACTGCTTTTGTCTTCAGAGGATTGTGATATTTAATCACGGTCTTTCCTAACAGACCCCATTAATTTCATCAGACTTACTTAGTACCTTTTTTTATTAAATATTCTTCATCAAATAACCTGAAAAATAATAATTATTATAATTATTATTATGTACCAGATACTGAACTGGTCACTTTACATGCAGGGATTTTGTTAACTAGTAAAATTACTTCTCAAGGTAACAAAAAATGCTTTTTAAATTGCAGTTTTCCTACAAAACTAATTTTAAAAGTTTCATTTTGCATATCCTGTTTTGAAAGATATCGTTACTATCTCATAAGCAGAATACTTATCACTCTACCACAGATGTCAACTTTGCTATTTGTAAAATTATTAAAATATCCTAAATACCATAATTTTTGGCTATTCATACCATTTTCAAGAATTCTGGTTTTTTAAAATTTGTCTTTCCTACTTTAAGTTTTTATTTCTATTTGTTTTGTTTTGTTTTTTTGAGACAGGGTGCCATCCTGTCACCCAGGCTAAGTATAGTGGCATGATTACTCACTATATCCTCAACCTCCTGGGCTCAAGCAATCCTCCCAAGTAGCTGGAACTACAGGCACATACCACCATGGTCAGCTGATTTCTGATTTTTTGTAGAGACAGGATCTCACCATGTTGCCTAGGCTGGTCTTAAACTCCTAGGCTCAAGTGATCTTCCTGCTTCGGCCTTCCAAAATGCTGGGATTACAGGCATGAGCCACCACACTTGGCCTTTGTTTCTATTTTTAACATATTATTTTGTTGTTAGAACTAATACTCTAAATTTTAAATTATTCTATTCTATTTTACTTAAACTTATTTTTCATTCTATTTTGATTGAGGTCTTTTTCTTAGTTTGTAGAATTAACAAAGCCTTCTGTAATTCTATTTATTTGTTAACCTTTTGTAGTATTTAAATTTTTCTGGATTCTAAAGCTATTTGTGTTTACCTGAAATTATACCACTTTTTATATTATCTAGTCAATACTTGTTTTTACTGATTTTTTTCAAGAAATTATGACCATTTTTAATGGCCAATCTTTTGAGTCACTTTCCTTTAAAATGCTGCTTTTTGAGAAAATTAATTTGTCAGGCTTGTTAAATTATGCAGTAATCTCTCTATAGGATGATGGTGCTAGCATCTTCCCAAACTGACTTACAATTGTGACTGTTAATACACTATGTAAGTAAGAGGAACCATCAGCATTTACTTTTAGTTCTTTTGCAGAGATGAATAAACATCTTGAAATGCTGATTTAGACAATGTTTTAAAAATGCTATGATGCACTTTGGTATATCACTGACTCTTGCTTAGTTAAATGTTTTGCAGCATTATAGCATAGTTGAATTCAGCTCATCTTTTAAGTCAGTTGTCAGAAAAATATGGGCTAGCATGGTAGAATGTATTAGCTCAATACATTGTCTCCATTTTATTATGAAGCTGCTGAGGAAGCTGTGATATACAGCACTGTCATTACAGATCTATTGTTAGGATGGTTCCACAGTCTTCTTTGCACTGCCATTAATTTATAGCAGTAAACAATATGTAGCCTTCCAACTGCAGCAAAGCAGAATCTTTTAATGAGGTGGATGTTATTACCACAATAAATCAGTGCTTTCGCGTAATGTATAATTCAATGTGTGTATTCCCACTGTAAGTTCTCTGAGTAAGCTGATAGTGTATCATTGTCATTGCACAGCTCCACTGGTCTTTTTTTTTTTTTTTTGAGTTTCTTTTATTTGGGGACTTCTTTTTTATATGCTTGCAAATAAACATGGTATGTCTTGATAGCTGTCCTATAGCAGACTTCAGAAACCACTGTAACAATAACAGCCAAAATCAATACTGTGGGTTCTACCAATATGGATCTCTGCAAGATGCCATTTTTTTTCAGATGCTAGTGAAATCAATCCTAATTGGTTTTAGCATTATATTCAAGAAACGTGATTCTATAACTATTGATTTTGGGGGTTACTCATTTGGAGAGTAATAAAAATAGGAGCAGATAAAGTGAATACTTAATATGCTGCAGAACCATACAAAAGGAGCATTGATTCTATTTTTAATTCATATAATTTGTCTTCTAGTGATTTTATTTCTTCTCTCTTTTCTTTTGCATGGCTCATTCTTTAGGGACAGCAACTAAAATACATTTAAAGGCATTTCAAATTGGTTCTGTAACAAAGAAAGAATCCTTGGAGTCAGCTCCATTCTTAACTGACATATATTTAGTAAGTCAGATATGATTCTTTTGTACAGAAACTAATGCTTTAAAAGATAGTATTTTAAATTTGTTTACTGTGAAACTGATGTAAAATGGTCAACTAAAGATTTTTAAAATTTTGCTTGTAAAGTAAAAAATGCCTTAAAATATAATAATATTTATTAAAACCAAGCTATTGAAAGGATGCCAAAAATAAATAGCTTTGAAAAAATAATGAACAATTTAGTAAAGATAACCAAAATGATATATTTAAGATGTTGCTTAAAATTATATAATGTGGGCCGGGCACTGTGGCTCATTACATGGTGGCTGTAATCCTAGCATTTTGGGAGGCCAAGGCAGGTGGATCACCTGAGGTCGGGAGTTTGAGACCAGCCTGACCAACATGGAGAAAACCCCCTGTCTATTGAAAAAAAGAAATTATATAACGTGAAAAGCAGTTTAAAAACTGGTTTGAACAGTATTTCTCAATGCATCCATTTTTAACCAGTATTTTTGACTTATTTTAACATTTTCTCCACAATCGAATAATCAGATATTTTCTTTCTCTTATAAATGAGGAGTGATTAACTCATACATGTTCATAAATGATATAAGGCTAAACCCTGTTTTGTATATTTTTTAAATATTTATTTATTTATTTAGAGATAGGGACTCTCTTTGTCACCCGGGATGGAGTACAGTGGCACGATCATAGCTCACTGCAGGCTTTAAGGTGCCTGGGCTCCTGCAATCCTCCTACCTCAGTCTCCCAAGTAGCCACTACAGGCACATGCCACTATGCCCAACTGATTTTTAAAGGTTTTGTAGAAACAAGGTCTCACTATGTTGCACAGACTGCTCTTCAACTCCAGGACTCAAAGGATCTCCCCCTCAATCTCCCAAAGTACTGGGATTATAGGTGTGAACCACTGCACCTGGCCTCTGTATCTTATTAAAAGAAGTAATCTTATATATCATATCTTTTTCAGTGAATGGGCTCTTACATTTTTAATAAGGAATAGAGATTTTTCTAGAGATCAGAATGTTTTTAGAGAATGAATTATTACTTAAAGCAGTTGATCTTAACATTCTTTGAGCCTTAGACTCCTTTGAGACTCTCAAACATATTCTGTATGTCTTTGTAAGGAAATGTACATGCATACGCATAATCACACAGGATTTTGCTTGCTATTTAATGGATTTCATGTATAACCTAAATGACAGCAGCAGTAGCAAAAATAAATATACAGGTACCAACTAACATTTATTAAGGTTTATCTTATGCTGAGCAATGTGCTAAAGGCAATTATTTCATTCAAACTCTTTTATCCAAATTCTAAAAGATTATCTTAAAAACCATAGTTAGCATTCATTGAATATTGTCAGGCATAGTTTGTTAGACGTTAATGTGCCTACTCATTTTTATCTTCCAAAACAACCTTCTGAATGAAGGTTATTCATTCCAGTGAGCTCAGGGATTTAACCATGTTACTATACTGCTCTGGGACCTCTGCTATAAAGTACTATTTTCCAGTATATGCTCATAATCTGTCTACTATTCTTTATTTATATATATATATATATAAAATAAAGAAGTTAGAGGATAAAACATTAACTATGCAGGCATGTTTTTATCCTCTAACTTCCTTTTTTATATAACATATATGTTATATAAAATATTTATATTTTATATTTATTTATATTTGCTTGCATTAACTATATATATAAACTATATATTATATAGCATAATGTATATGTTATATAAAAAAGAAGTTAGTGGATAAAAATATATAATATTTTATAATAGTTAAATAACTATATATTAACTATATATTATATGTATTATATAACTATATATAGTTAATATATATAGTAAATGCAGGCATATAAAAACCCTATAACTAGAAATTTCTACCAGTGTGAGTGAAACATGCATTTGCAGACATATTTTTACCCTCTGACTTCTGGTTTCACTCACACTAGTAGAAATTTCTAGTTATATCTTAGTCCTGTTTTCCCACAGTTTCTTCCTTGTACTCCATCTCACCTTTCTCCCAGCTTTGTTTCATCCTCTTCTAATAACCCATTATAAGTCAGTCCTTCAGCTTTAAGATTCTGTTTCTTGTTGTTGCTTCTAAGTAACTAAATGAGGTTTTGTAGGTGCTTTCCAAAGTGGTGTATAGCTGATACTTCATGTAATTGTCTTTATGTGATGCTTGTTACGGGATGATTAAATACCTATGTTCCACAAAAGCTAGATTTATGGAGAAATGATGGGTCTATCCATTCACTTACTTAGACATTGTGTTTAACTTGAATTGAAAAATAAATTTGCTTTTCTATATACCCCCAAATGATACTGTGTTGCAGCTTAAATAGTATATATTTTTAAAATTCACTTTTATACCTACAGTAGGATATCATCAGGAGACATGAAGGATGATTACATTTATGTATTCTTGGTTTTTCCCCTCCCTTTTGGCAGCCAATAGGAGCTCTGAACCCAAAAAGAGCAGCATTCTTCGCAGAGCGTTATGAATCATGGGAAGATGATCAAGTTCCAAAGTTTCACTATGGTACTCATTACTCAACTGCAAGTTTTGTTCTTGCATGGCTACTAAGAATAGTAAGTTCAATTTGAATAATACACCATGACTAAATAAGTGTTGTGAAGGATATGCAAAAATTAGAACTCATCAGCATCTTTTTTTGAATACTAAAAAAACCAGTTTAAATGATTAAAGTTATAATTATAAATATCTCTGTCTCTCATTTGGTTTGTATTAACTTAAAAGTGTTTCATCTGGAATTGTATGAACTTTTTTCTTAAAATAGCCTCTTCAGATGGCTATTATCTTACCAGATTATAACTTATAGCATAGATTCTTTTAAAATGTATTCTATTAAAATGAGAACTAAGTATGTTGTTACACAGACATGTATTTATATATTTTGGAAAGTTGTCCCAAATGGAATGAGTTTGTTGGTAACACTAGGCTGTCGTGTATTGATAATATATTGGTTAAACAAGAAATGTTTCTGTGAAATTGAAAGGTGATTCATCTACTAGAAAGCAGTTTCTTTGGGAAAGCATTAGCAGCACATCATTAATTAAAGCTTGTTAGAAGGATACAGGCAGACATAAATCCTAGAAGTAATTTATAGTGCTTAGCTAATTTCAAGCAATTATCCACTAATATGTGTTTAAGTGTTCTTTAACTACGAGGAGGCTTTTAAATCTTCCAAACATTTTTCTTTTCTTAATCATAAATTAAATATTGAGCCATAACAATAGGAAAATTACATACTGGGCTATTCTCTGTACTATGAAGAAAATACATCTAATTTATGTCTGCACGATATTAATAAATTATTCTTGGAAAGGAAGGCTACCTGAAGAAAATGTTGCAAACACCAAATTTTTGAAATATTCAGAAATAATTCTTTTGAGGGAAATATAACTTGAAAACATTAATTTAATAATTTAGGTATGATTTTCATTTTCTACCTAGTTTATATTACTATCTAATGCCTATTAGTTATTAAAATATTTAGATCTAAGGCTTTATAAAATCTACATTTTTATCCATGAGGGAACAAGTGAATTTTTTTAATTGCTATTTTTTTAGGAACCCTTTACAACATTTTTCCTGAATTTGCAAGGAGGTAAATTTGATCATGCAGATCGAACTTTTTCATCAATTTCCAGAGCTTGGCGAAATAGTCAGCGTGATACATCTGATATTAAGGTACAGAAATGTTTTGTTTTATAGTTGTTATTGCCAGTGCATTACTTGTTGAATGAATGTTGAAAATTTTCTCTGCTACCATACATACAGCCCAGCCCTGTTTACTAAAGATAAAACTCAGTAGATAAATCCTTAATTAAATGGCCAAGAATTATAACTGTCTATCTCTCTTGTCTTTCCCTGTAAGTTTTTTTTTCTTTCTTTTTTTTTTTTTTTTTTGGAGGGCGGTGGGGATGGAGTTTTGCTCTATCCCTCAGGTTGGAGTGCAGTGGTGTGATCTCAGCTCACTGCAACCTCTGTCTCCTGGGTTCAAGTGATTCTCCTGCCTCAGCCTCCCAAGTAGCTGAGATTACAGGTATCTGCCACAATGCCTGGCTTTTGTGTGTGTGTGTGTGCTTTTTAAAAGTAAAGACAGGGTTTCACCATTTTGGCCAGGCCGATCTTGAACTCCTGACCTCAAGTGATCCACCTGCCTCAGCCACCCAAAGTGTTCAAAGTATTGGGATTACAGGCACGAGCCACCATGCCTGGCCTCTCCCTGTAAATTGTAAGTAACTATCTCTCCTCTGTCACAATCTGTTCCTCTTTTCTCTCTGTCTCTTGTTTTAGAGTGTTTTTTTTTTTTTTTTTCTTTATCTTTAGAATCTTTTTGTTGAAGGAAATATATAGTACATAGTGTGGATGTAAGGCAGCATGCATAATGGAATTTCGAACTCTTTTTTTTGAGACAAGATCTCACTTTGTCACCCAGATTAGAGGTGCAGCAGCACAATCACAGCTCACTATAGCCTCAGCCTCAACCTTCCAGGCTCAAGTGATCCTCCCACCTCAGCCTCCTGAGTAGCTGTGACCACAGACATGTACCACCATGCTAGGCTAATTTTTTTATTTTTTGTAAAGATGAGATCTCCCTGTATTGCCCAGGCTGGCCTTGAACTCTCTTAAGCGATCTTCCTATCTCAGCCACCCAGAGCGCTGGGATTATAGGTATGAGCCACCATGCCTGACTGGAATTCCAAACTCAATGAATAAAATTATTATAGTCTGAAAAATACCATGAGAAAAATCTCAGATGTAGATATTTAGATTTCCTATATACCTATTCTTAAAATAATTGTGTTTTGCCTGCTGCTGATTCTAATTGCATACCTGACTTTGCTTAGTAGAGTATTCCATTATTAATAAAGCAAAACATGAGTTCTATCTATATGCTGAAAGATCAAAAAAATCAAAAACTTTGCATAGTAGCTAATATAATCCTTACTAGAATATTTCTTCTATCCTTAGAAGTACAGTCTATTTTTGTTTACATGTCTCTTTCTGCAAGGTACTGTGTTAGATCTATTAAGTATAATGAGATATACCTGTGGTTTCGAAGTTCCTTATAGTTTCATGGAGAAATATGACATACATAAATAATTATACTATATAGGAGAAACTATGTGCCAGATGAGAAATATTGGAGTCCAAAAGCAAAAAAGTTATACTTCTAATGTGTATGTTGCTATAGAGTACTTAAAAATCTTTTCAGTATAATGATAATTGCATCTTGATAATTGATAAAGTATCTTAGGTATGATACTTTAAAGTCTACAAAATGTATTCACATCTTACTGTAGAGTACATTGCTTGTGTGAAAGATATTTTATTGAAGAAGATACTATTGTATGCAAAAATATTGAAACATCTATCAGGGCTTTTGATCTCACAAATAATATACTCTGATATACTCTTGAAAAATGTATTTCATACTCTATAAGAATCATCAGTAAATAATTTTTATCTAAACATCCATAAAAGTAATGAAAAAAGTAAATAAGAATAGTTAATATATTTAATAATTTTTTGTTAACTGTTACCTCTAACCTGAAAGGTGTTTAATTACTTATATAACTCTTTTGAGAAATAATAACACAAATGAATGTATTGATAAGCCTGACCTTTTGTTATCACATTGAAAGCTTATGTGTGGGTTTTTTTTTTTAACTTTCCAAATTCCTTTATTTGTTAATCATCTCTTGACCAAATTTTAACATCATTCATAAGTTTGCTACTAGGAACATAAACAATAATGAACTCATGAATTTGAGTATTATTTTTTTCTGCTTTATAATAGCAGTAGTGGATATCTTCAGCTTTCTGCCTCTATCTTTAGTAGACATTCCTGTTCATTTGATGGACTGGAAGTACATATGATGAACTGGAGATACATATGATAGATGCTAGTAGTTTTGTTTCCTCTTTTTCCTGAATCTCAGCCTTTTTCTGTCAAGATTCTTTAATTAGTTTGTGTCTGGTTTCATTTTCTCTAACAATTCTTTAAAATACCTTGCGTGTAAAAAAATAAAAAACAAACCTAAACAAAACAACTGTAACATAAAAAAAAAATCACATGCTCTTCTTTACCTTTCTTCTTCCTTATTTTTCTTATTATTCTTGTTTCATAACAAATAAGGAGTCAAATTCAGCTCCCTCTTATGTTCCAAAGATAAAAGGAAGCTGTATGTTTCATTATGTTTGGAAGCACAAAATTTTTTTTTAGAACTGACTTTGTGAAGCCTGCTGATATTTTTCCTCCATTGTGTATATTCCCCTTCTCTTTCTCCACCCCCTATTCCCTAATATCTGTAGAATAGTAGGTAAGGCACTGATAAATTACCCCCATTTTTATATCAGTAATCAGCTAATTGGGGCCCTAAAACTCAGTGACTTTCAAATACTTTGAAACTATATAATATAAGGTTATATAGGCTATTTAAAGATCTTCCTGTTGGTTCGTCTTTCTAAAACGAGGGATTTAATCATGCCTCTGTTGTTGTTTTGATCCTGCGTCTTTTTAAAATATTACATTTTGACACCTTAGAAAGCACATTTAAATTATTATAATAAATAAAATAAATGTATAAGAACACAGTTAAATTACTATAATAATGTAAATATTTCATTCAGCTATCACATTATATTTCAGTTGGAATCATTATTAGTTATAATTGTCAACTTTCTTTGTATTGTCTTGCTGGAGTTCCTAGAAATACTAAAGAAATGTTAAACAGTAGAGAGGAGAGGGTGAAATATGTTGGTGGGGTTGTAGGAATCATTTTATTGAGTGAATCCTAAAGCATACCTGCCTGATTAAGATAGTATACATACTGTAAAATGTTTTTGTGAGATTTTCTCAAAATAAAATGTAAGGTATGTAGAAGATTTAAGTTTTTTTCAGAAAGAAAAAATAAGAATAGGATAACATTTCTGGTAACTTAACTTTTGCTGAGGGGGAGCTGTTACTTTAATATCTTAAAATCCCTATTTCTTATATTTTGCCAATACTCAAAGAATAATATTACCAAAAATTGAGGTTATTCCTATGAATAATGGTTAAAAATGTTAATTCTTTTTATTTTAAAGAAAAAAGAGATCTTTTTTTTAACTAAAGCAACCTTTTATTTTTAGCACAATTTACTGTTTTTAAAGTTTTGCAGATCATTTATATTCCTCTGCATCATTGGTGATTCCATTTCAGATATGACCTCTCAATGATGGTTTTTATTCCACCTGAAAAAGCAGATCAGTAGTGTTGATCAGTTCTCTAAGGAGGTGTAGAGCTACTCTCTAAAGGAAATATAAGCCACAAATATAAGCCACCTGTGTAATAAAATTATCTTGTATTTTTAAAAGTAAAATTAATTTTAATAATATATCTTAACCATATATATCCAAGATACTATTTCAGTATGTAATTCATATAAAATTATTAGATATTTTACTTTTTATGATACTAAGTCTTCCAGTGGTATTTTACTCTTAAGATGTCCCTATTTACATTACACATCTGTGTTCAAACTAGCCACACATTTTGAGTTCAGGAGCCATTATGGCTAGTGGCTGCTATATTGGGCAGTGCGAGTTTAGGGCATTGTTTTGGAATCACACCAAGGGATAGTTTGGGCTTATAGAAAGAATGCCTTCACCCTTTTGAACAATTATGTTTCTGATGTATCCTTCATCTAAAATGGAACAGACAATCAGCAATAATCTATAATCTTGAAGACTTAAATAGAAAGTATTAAAATTGGGTTGGAGAATCTTCACTGTGATAAATAATATTTTAAAATTCCCAGTAGATTCTGTGTTTTAAATCTTTAAAATTAACTTAAATTTAGAAACTGAGGTTCAGAATAGATTACTTTCTTCAGCCTGAACCTTGAATTATTATGACCAAATTTTGTTTAACAAATGACAGACTCATGAAGTTTAAATGAATTTGACTAGGCAAACATATCTAAATACTGGGTGGATATCTAAGCTTTTCTAGGCAATTTATTGCCATTGATTTTTTGCCCCTACTCCTGAGGTATCCTACTCATTTCAGATACCTTTAGTGTCAATAAATTCAGTCAATCTGACTTGCTGCAGTTTAAATTATTTTCTTTTTCTCCTGTAGAAATGATTACTACTCTGTATTAGAACATAGAAGGAATCATAAATATCATCCCGGTTCATTACTTTGGAATGGGTACAGTAGTAAATGGATTTGAAACGGAGATTGCTGGAGAACCATACTTTTTAGAAACCCTGAGTCTAACATAATATATTATTAAAATATAACCTGTACAAAAAAATCACATACACAGACACAAAAAAAGAATTAAAAAATATATATAACCTGTACAAAAATAAATTAGATTAAAAAGTTTGGAGGAATCCTGAGATATCATTTACTTTTAAAATGTTGTACTTTAATTTTGTTTATCCACTGTCAGACCCTGGTTGTCATACAGCACCAAATATGACACAATTCTTGCCTTCAGTGGACTTTTGCACTAGAAGAGATACCTACAGTAAAACAAGTCCCAGCAATTTCATACAGTAGTTACTCTGTGGGCTCATGGATACAGCATCTGAAATAAAGAGAAGGGAGAGGAAGGAGGAAATTCAGGACCAATCATGTGGGGCCTTCTGTTTTATGAAAGTGGTTGAACTTTATCCTGGGTGCAGTGGGG